TTTGTGATAAAACTGAAAAAAGACATTTGTATTATCTAAAGCATACTATTGGATACTGGCAAGCATTTAAGTGCCAGGGAAGCAGCATGCTTAATAGCTCACGCTCATCACCAATACATACTTTTTTTATTACCAACACTTCCCCAAAACCTCTAATTAACTTTCTATACTTGATTTCATGACATCACATTTTGGGCAGTCACTGCGCTACTAAACAATCTACTCAAAATATCTAATAAGGGTATAATCCTTACTTTTCTGGGTACAAAACCTGTCTTTGACACTTCCATAGAATTAACGGTTTTACTATTACTCGTAATTTTTTATTTTAAATGGAGTTATAGTAGTTTATTTTATTTTCATTAATATATATTTTTTCTAAATGATAAAATCATGAGTAAAATATTTTTTCTGTATTACTGTATTGTTTTTGGTTATTTTTACTAATAATTAATTAGGATATATTAATATTTCTATCATTTCCAAACAATAATTTGAGGCAATGTTTATATTGCCTACTAGATGGCAACATAATTATGGTTCTTTTTGCATCTTTCGTATTTGGTAACCATACTATACAATTATATTGTATTTTTCCTGTTTCTCTATTTTATACCATAATTTTTGGTTCTTTCATTGGTGACAAGAACCAGATTTACTTCTTTCAAACAGGCTTTATGCGATACGTTTTTATATACGTTTTTTGTCTGAATACTTAGGTTTAATAGTAATAACTCTAAGATATTATAGAAAAGTGTCTACCATAAATACCATTTTAATCTTAATTTCGAAGCAAAGGTCTTAGGTTTCAGACGAGTCATTGAAGTTCGCCTGAGAACGTGATTAAACAAAATGGTTTAGCTAAGCCTTCTTTTTAGGGAACATGTTTCTATTTTCTTTTCAAGCATTTGTAAGCATGTTGTATAAATCTAGCGTCAATACTGTGGTTACTTATGTCTTTCATAATATCATTTCAACATCGTTTTCATCATCTAATACTGCTGATTTTTCGTTTACATTATAGTTTCTACTAGGCACTCGTCTCAAGCCTTATTTATCCACGAAATATAGAATATTAAGCTTTTTTTTTAAACTTTGCTATAGCGAACTTTGATAGTTCGTTTATAAATAAGTCTCTATGGGCTAGAATACCACATATGCCTGACAGTAAATGGTTCACACAGACGTTCAACTTCAGGAGATGAAAAATATTACACTTCGGTTGGGAATTTCCTCCTATTTCTTAAACTGAAAACGTTCATAACATCTTGATATGGAAGCTAACATATGAAAGTTCTCACGTAACAATAGGGACACAAACTTTCTAGACATCAATCTTCAACTCTCTTTATACGCTTGTAAGGAACTTATTTATGAAATTTCTAAAACCCTCAGCACAACTATTCGTGACAGCCATTGTGTGAAAAGAGGAGAGTTTGAAAACCTGTGTGTTTAATATTGTTGTATTTTCAGATAGATAAACCCGCCAACAACAGCAGATTTGATCAAAAAATAAAGGAGTGATCTGTAATAGATAACTTGGCTGAGTTTTTTAAGTGTAAAATAATGAGACTGGACAAGTGGAATAACTGAACAAACTCTTTATTACAACAAACACAGAGTAGTCATACTTGTGCAGACAAAATTACAATCGATTCTCCTGGAGTGTGTTTTGCTTCAAAGCTTTCTTTCCATCAAGATCCGATTCTGTTAAACTAAACACGATGGTTTTCAAGTAAGATTTTCTCTTCACAATTTCCTAGTAGAACTGGATAAAGAAAGCGCATCTGAATTCAACAAAAAACTCGTTTTCTCTGTTCGGTTGACAGCGTTGCCTCATGACCTTCGTTCTTTCACAGGATTAGTCAGCTGTATCGTTTAGACAACGTCAACTTGGCCAGAAAAGGATATTGCAGGATCGATTCTTTCAACCCGGCTGTTATACGTTACTGCAATATCATTTCAGGCAGGATAGACATTACTTACTATAGAGAAAAATAAACAAAACAACTAGAAAAAGGTAATCTTAACAACTTTTTGGACCACATTTTGCCGAAATTACAGAATGGAAGCTTAAATCGACTTTGTTTTATTTCTATGTAACTAAAGCAATTAGAAAACATACCATATGTCGGCATACTACACTATATTTTCTCACAGTTCGAGTTGTGCTTCAAACATACCCGTGTTTGTATGAAGTGATCACACTAAACCATATTTGTTTGACTCAATTATAAATTCGACCTATATTGTCTGGAAAATAGCAATTAAAAGCTTTTATTACTAGATGTTATCGTTTATATAACTTCCTTAGATTCCAATTCACATATACTTTGGTAAAATGCAAAACAAATGGTCAAATGTACCTTAAAACTCTAAATTCTAAATTCTGAAAACATTTGTTTATTATAGGTTTTAGCTATAGCCCAACACCAACTACAAGTGTCAAAATCTAAACACAAAGAGTTGTAGTCGTCTTTTCTAAGTACGACAGTTTTCACACTTCATATTAACGTACTTTTTGTGTAGAATGAAAAAAACAAAATTTCACTTAGTGTATTCAGAAATAGTCGATTTAGTGCAAGAAAATGAAAAGCACTGTCAGTTTATATAGTGAATATACGATATTTTTTACCTGCTGCAGGTTGTGTAAGGCATGTGGCGAAGTAGAATGTAAAGGCACAAGCATAGCTTTCCTTTCAATTTTTTTTCATCATTCTTGAAAATTAGAAGAAACAAAAAATGTATTGGTATTACAAATTTCGGCCGTTTCATTTTCCTATTCTGTTTATCTTATTTTACTTTGTCCCATTTTTATTTACATTTATTCATTTTATCGTGTGTCTTCCTTCCTTATCCACCAATTCTTCCCCCCCCCCCTAAGATATCGAGAACTAGAACGAAAGGTGGGGGGAGTAAACAGTCATTTAGTTGTTGTTTTTTTTCACACCATTCTTCACCGTTTCGTTTAAAAAATAGCTTTAACTTTAAACATTTTCTTCCAACATTTCCCACGACGACGCTTTTCTTTACGTACGAAAAATAAGATATATACATCATGTTATATTGCAAGTATAAACTCTGTAGTTGTTTATAGGAAATCAGCCACTATGATAGTAAGAATGAGATCCAGATTGTGTTCTCTCAATCCCCTGTTGATTCCGTAACCTTTTCATTTCGTAAACAGCTTGAAATTTTTCTAATCGTGAAACAGAACAAACTTTCAACTGGAATATTTAATATTTTCAAAACATATTCTGCACATTTCTCTCTGAGTAAAGGTTGGACACCTGTATATTTTCTCATGTACTTTTGGAAGAAGGTTTTACTTTTAAAGACCTGCTGGGCTACGTTTACACAAAGAAGATTAAATGAAAGCAGAATGTTATCAATCACTGGAATTTTAATTCCTCTAGCAACAACTAACAATAATTTCCATAGCCCCCCCCCTCCTCCTTGTTACACCTACATTTGAAATTATGCTCAAACTTAGATCAAATTATCCCTTCCCTTCACCTTCTTATCTACGATTTTTTTTTTAATTCGGAATATGAAAAATATTTTGTTGTTGAAAAATAGCTGTTAAGGAAGATTTTCGCGGAGGAAAAACCCTATTCCCGTAAATTTTCACGCTTTACATCCACGTAGATAGCATTACAACTACAATTACATTATTTAGATTTAACTGGTTCAGTGAACTTGTAAGATAACGAGAGCTCCTGACGAAGCTGTAATAGCAAAATATTGAACTAAAAAAGTTATATTCTAGAGATATAGGTCGTGATTTTAATTACGTTTATAGAAATCTCTCATAATAAATTCCAGTTTGCGTTAAACAAAGTTAAGAATAATAATTACAACTGCCTTTTGTATTTCAGTTCTAATTACTCGACTTTTGACTATATGGTTGTTTTTAATCACTTTCATAGGATTTCGGATATCTTGAAATTAATTTAATGAAGTAACAACTTGCTGGATTTACTCATATGTATTGTTTCAAGAATTTGCGACTCGTGAATTAGGCTTAGGGATCGAACTTGGCTCACACTGGCGATATATATATATAGGATAGTATTGATCCGATTAGGCTAGCAATTATACACAAAGAATGCGCGATAAATCACTTGACGTTGAATATTTAGCTGTTGCAAGAGTAATGAATACATTTTTATACTAAACGTAATTCCAATAGTCTTCATAAAGACTAAAGATTTGTCAAAGGGATTTGTTAGGGTAAGTTTATCCTCTTCAAAAGTTGTGCAATATTATATGTTAAACAACTTTAGGGCATTTCCAAGAACACAATAAAGATATGTATATAGATATATATATATATATATATTCGGTTAATGTAATGCGTCGAAACTAAACCTTGTATATACAATAAATAAAGATAAATTGGTCGAAGACAGTCGATGTGTTCAACTTGAACGGCACTTTATGTGACACATGGGCTAAATGGTCACCAAGGTTGAAGTATAGCCATTTACAATTTAGAACTGCTAACCAGAGGGAGAACAACCAGTCTGTAGCTCTAATGCCTACAGTTTTTGTGGCTCGAACCTTAAACTTTCTAATCTGCAGCTCGGTGGGCTAACAATTTCGTCCCCACTCCCTGGCCAACTCGCTTGAAACTTTACAATGCGAGATAGAGTTAAAACATACGTATTTTGACTAACCTACTTTGTAAATATGCTAGAAACAAAAGATTATTTTTAGTATCGGCGTTTTATTATAACTATCATATTATTTTTTTTAAAAACTCTAAGCCTCTGAAGAAATAATAAGCAGGACCGATTGTATTTGGTAATAAATTCACTTCCCACCGTCCGTTAAATCAGAATCAACAACACGAGTTGTATACAATTTAATATAGACTGAAAGTGAATCCTGACAAAAGATAAGTTTCATTTTTAATAAATTCTAAAATTTTATGACAAATTAGGTTAAAGTAAACCAATACTGATATTTTTTTTAATATAATTTCCCGTACATCTTAGAATACGGTGGACAAGCTGTTTCAAAAGGCTAATGTATCGCTGACAATTGGAACCTCATCTTGGAAAGAACAGTTCATAGAAGCCATCACTGTCAACGCAGGTAAGAACAAGTTATCAGTTCAACTAACACAAATCATATCAGTGAACCAAAAAACGCTTTGAAATAAAAAGTAATGGTTTTACTGGTTTCACGTAAGAAGTGATTACAAGAGTGACAATTAAAAATATTTATGTGGAAACAGGGTTCTTGTTTATGCATCTATTTGTTCTTTCAAAATGTTCCATATTAAAGAAATGTTTATCTTACAATTTATTACTAACAAACAGTGTTTCTTGGAGAGCTTATTGATCAGTTGCATCATATGTTTTCTAAGGTTTATTTTCAGTCTCACTGATATCTGTAATTGCATACAAAGATTAGATACACGTTGTAAGAATGCAAATAATTACTTAATGTTCAAAATAATTGTAATTAATTAATGGTACTTTATAAAATACTTCTCTTGTAAAGATTCGAAGACGGAAAATCCTGTAAAGTAAAGCGGGTCCCCCGACGGCTAAGCCGTAAGCTTCAGGGTTTTAAACTCTTAAATTCAGGGTTCGATCCATGCGGTGGTTATGCGTTTTGTTAATAATATAACCTAGAAAATAAGCTTTTCTATTGCATCCAACATTGAATGGTAAGAGATCACATTTATTAATATGGGTGTGTAAGTTATCATTGAAAACACTACCATATATATTGAAATATATCCATTTTGATAAAACCCTCACAACTCCATTTCACCGATTTCTATTGGCCAAGCTATACTTGTTAAGTTCCTTTCATAAAATATCAGGGCTGAGACTGAGTACTATAACCTAGTAATTTAGTAGAAAGCCGTGTGTGTATGAAAACAAATGTAGATCTTATTTTGTGATGAACCCAATGAATGCCATCATGTACTTAACGTATATGGAACAAGTGACTCTTGTTGAATATATCTGAGAACTGTGTATTATTATATGGTCTTCGGGAAGAAAAATTCAGGTTGCAACCAAAAAAAGTCAACATATGTATAAGTGAAAGGCTTATTAACTGTGTAATAAATATTTCTAGAATATAAACGTTCTTTTAAGATATCATTAAATCAAGGCAAAACAACAACAACACTTAAGAGTTTGTTGTTAAGCGCAAAGCTGCAGAATGGAAACCCGATTTTTAGCGTTACAAGCCCTCAGCTTTCCCGCTGAGCCACAAGGAGGTGGTGGAAATGATAAACAAAGAAGATCCCATCGATCTTTTCACGGACCATTAAATGTTTTTTTTTTAAAAAAACATTTTACAACAAATAACAATACGCCAATCATATCCTCAGTAAGGATGGATATCAACCATCAGAGAATTTACATTTTGCCATTATAATGAGATGTGGTAGATTACCTTACAATAGATATCTTTTATGATATAGATTCTCGAACAAACAACAGGGTGTTAGAACCAAGTTATGAATATAGATAAAATGACTGAAACCATTTTTAAAGAAGTAAAGTAAAAGTGGGAGTCGTTTTTCTAGTAAACAGTGTTGATAAGGATTTTCCTTCTCTCCCTTTTAGTGCCCCTGAAAAAGCTCTTTATATTTTCAGAATTTTACCACACTGTCGTTCCATTTGGTTGTTAAGTACGAAACCAACTTGAACTTTATGAACTATTAAGATGATTTTAAGTTAGTTAAATAGCCCCTTTTAACAACGGAATATATAAAAAATATCGTATTTTATCAGGAAGGCGGTAGCAATGCCTGTGTAGGAATGACTTGGATTGTTAATTGAAATTGTATTTTAAATATCTCCTCAATAGGTGATCAGAACTTTACAATACTATACAGTGTTTCCTTTTATAACAATATCTACGTAATGACTGAGTCATAAGTTCTGGGAATGTCTGTAAATATAATAACAAAAAGTTTGAATTTCTTGTTCTTTTTTTTTACATGATAACTCAATAACCGCTTTTATAAGTATGATTAATAACTAGTAGTAATTTTAAAAAATCACAATTTTAGTGTAAACGATGTTATCATTATCCCTTGAAATTAGCTTTCTTATAGAAATTTGGTGTTCCTTTAAAAAGCTTAAGTAAGGGTGAAACAAGAATTACCAGCTAGTAATGGATAAACAATAAATAGTTGGAACCTCGTTGGTTACACATACAGCATTCCTATGTTTGTTGAAACACTGCATTAAAAACAAAGCAAAAATGAGTAAAGAAAAACTTTTCAAAAGAGGAAGTAAATGTAGGGATGGCATTTGCATCACCTCTACGTAATATCACCCGCAAGAATTAACCTATAGCAATATATATATATATAACTATTCAATCACAACTGAGTTTAATTTATCTTATTTATGTCTGTTAATATTCTACTACATGGTGTGCCTGTGCTATTATGTAGAGATGATGCAAAACACGCACTCACTCTCATGATTTAGGCAAACTCGCATTTTGTAAGCTGAAGAACTTTCATGAAACCCTGTTGCTGAACAACTCCAGTCCTTGAAAAGTTCTTCTTCACATTGTTAGAACAAGTTCAGCTCTTGGAGAGTTCTTCTTCACATTGTAAGAACAAGACTAGCCCTTGGAGAGTTCTTCTTCACATTGTAAGAACAAGATTAGTCCTTGGAGAGTTCTTCTTCACATTGTTAGAACAAGTTCAGCCCTTGGAGAGTTCTTCTTCACATTGTAAGAACAAGACTAGCCCTTGGAGAGTTCTTCTTCACATTGTAAGAACAAGACTAGCCCTTGGAGAGTTCTTCTTCACATTGTAAGAACAAGTCCAGTCCTTGGAGAGTTTATCTTCACATTGTAAGAACAAGTCCAGTCCTTGGAAAGTTCTTCTTCACGTTGTAAGAACAAGTCCAGCCCTTGGAGAGTTCTTCTTCACATGGTAAGAACAACCCCAGTCGTTGGAGAGTTCTTCTTCACATTGTAAGAACAAGTCCAGTCCTTGGAGAGTTCTTCTTCACGTTGTAAGAACAAGTCCAGCCCTTGGAGAGTTCTTCTTCACATTGTAAGAACAAGTCCAGTCCTTGGAAAGTTCTTCTTCACGTTGTAAGAACAAGTCCAGTCCTTCGAGAGTTCTTCTTCACATTGTAAGAACAAGTCCAGTCCTTGGAAAGTTCTTCTTCACGTTGTAAGAACAAGTCCAGCCCTTGGAGAGTTCTTCTTCACATTGTAAGAACAAGTCCAGCCCTTGGAGAGTTCTTCTTCACACTGTAAGAACAAGTCCAGTCCTTGGAGAGTTCTTCTTCACATTGTAAGAACAAGTCCAGCCCTTGGAGAGTTCTTCTTCACATTGTAAGAACAACCCCAGTCCTTGGAGAGTTCTTCTTCGCATTGTAAGAACAACTCCAGTCCTTGGAGTGTTCTTCCTCACATTGTAAACATCTTGTATAGCAGGTCGTACATTTCAAGAGTGATGTTTGCCTGTTTTTGTTTTGTCCGCTGTTGTATTGAAATAATCGATCAATGTACGAATGCAGCGGTAAACCGAAAAACAAAACAAAGATATATGTACTCGTAAAAGAGTGGAGATTCTAAGATCAATAGCAGTGTTTCAATAAAACAAATATATATATATTATAGGCTCACTTCTCGTGAGTAAAACGCACTCCTGGTTTCTACTTATCACAGAATATGACAAACATTTCCAGTTCTGTTTGTGAGTTCACTGCAGGATGAAACCCCACTAAAAGACACTCACTATCTCTGACTTCCTAGTTTAGCGCTTCTTTAATATTAAATGTGTTAATCAAAATCCGTATTATTAAAAAGTGCGTGTATGAAACTCATTTTGTGAATTTAATGAAATAAATCTGTACTTAAGAATGTCAAACTTTCAGATAATGTAAGATAAAAAGTTGTTGTAATTATTTCATCAGGTGATGGTGAAGATGAACATGACGGTGACGGTGAAGAGGAGAAAATGCCAACATGTTCTGACTATGTCATGCACTTCTTTACGATTTTCTGGAAAGTTATTTTTGCCTTTGTTCCTCCTACAGGTTGGTGTCAATGAGCAAATGTAATTATACTAATTGCTTTTGTTCTTAATGTCAGAAAATGTAAAGAATAAGGTTGAAATACTTTAAAATATAAACAGAAAGTAAATCAAATTAGTGATATATATATACATATATAATGTATATTCACTTTTAATCTTAATTAAAAGCTAAATTGGGGGCGATTTTTATAAAATAACCAGGGTAAATATATAAATCGTAGTAACTCTTTTTTTTTATGAATACAGTAAAGAGTAGAAGAATGTTTTATAACTCATTGCAGTTGAGAGTTATCTTATGGACAAAATAGCTCTAAGTTAATAGGAATTGTGCAGCTATCCCTAGCTAAGCTGTAGCTGATAATAGATAGATATTTAAATTGATAGACAGATAGATAGACAAATGGGTAGATAGATTAGATAGATAGATAGATTAGATAGATAGACAGATATAAAAATGAAGTGAAGTTAAAGAGGTACCTTTGACTTAACCCTGCCTCTCTTCATTCAACAAGTTTATCAAAAACCTTTCAATTCAGGTGAGATCGTAACGTCTATATATGAAAAAAGCATTCCTAGTTCAGTCTGTTTAATTTTATTGTTGTTTTTTCTTCCGCAGACTACGTGGATGGGTGGCTCTGTTTTGTTTTTTCGATTGTTGTGATCGGTATCCTCACCGCTTTAATCGGTGACTTGGCTTCCCACTTCGGTTGCACTCTCGGTGTTAAAGACTCAGTTACTGCTATTGTCTTTGTTGCTTTGGGTACCAGTATTCCAGGTAAGACTAAACAAACTTTTCTATTTTGTCACCAGAGTGAGTACGCTTACTTTTGAGTAATTTTAATACTAAAATACAATAAACAGAACTTAGTCTTTCGAATGTTTTGAACAGTAGACCTTCCTAAAGGTTTGATATTTATTAATTAGGCTTCGTAATATCAATTTTTCTACCACTATCTTAAAGACTAATGAGATACAAATTTCCAAAGCTAACTTATAACGTCAGAAGGTGGTAACTATTCCATTGGCTCCAAAGGGCTCTCTTTTTCCACATATTTATAAATATGTGTATATGTAACTTTTATATACAGTATGTCATCACCGCTGAGACTTTTCTGAATGGGGTAAGGAACACAGAACTTGTCAAAATGTTAATCAAGGGGCTCATAGAATGGCTCTGAGTTTTTCAGTACAAATTTTAGCCCATACCTCCGTCATCTCTTGACCGATTTGAGATCTAATTACAGTTTTGGACTCAAGAAATCAAACCCTTTCGATTTATGTATTTGGCCATGCCCAAGGTCTCATATAGTAATTTACTCTAATCCTGCCTAAAAGAATTTCAATTTCAATGAGGTGGGTAAAGATCCCGATGAATAAGAAGATCGAATCGGGTATACGCGCGCCCCACACTTGGTACTGCTGACGCACAAAAATATAGCTAATAAAGAGGAAAAAGGGTCTCATAGATGAGTTTACTTTAATTCTGCCTTAAAGAATTTCAAGAGACGCGGCTAATGAGGATTCCTTCCTCTTGTTTTCTTTTCCAGCAAATCAGTTTCAGTATTATTGGATTTTTTTTGCTAGTTTTCAGGTGTTATGTTTTTGTTGTGCTTTACAATAGCCATTTAAAACTATCAATATTTGTCTTGTTGTTTATTTGTTTATTGAATTTCGCACAAAGCTACTCTAGGCCTATTTGCGCTAGCAGTCCCTAATTTTGAAGTGATTGACTAGAGGGAACACCACCCACAACCAATTCTCGGGCTACTCTTTACCAACGAATAGTGGGATTGGCCGTCACATTTTGATGCTCCCACGACTGAACGAGCGAGTATGTTGGACAGGGGGTTCCGATCCCGTAATCTGCATTGCAAGCCCAGCGTCCTAACCACCAGACCATGTGAGGTTATATTATATTAAGAGGTATAGTCAACCGTTCAGTAAAACAAAACAACAATCTGCTTATTTATATCAAAAGGGTTTAATTATTAATTTAAAATAAATTTTCAACGGTTGAATTACGATTGATAAGAATTACACTATTGAAACAATATCAGTTAAAGGTCATAATCTATGAATTAGACAGCTAATAGAAAGATATATGTAATGCCGAAATGGCCTTTATTTTATTCTAAACAACTGGTTATCGTGTGTTTTCAATCATGCGTAACTTAAGAGATGTACAAGATTAAGGCAGTATTCACACCGGGTTACAAGATTTAGGCAGTATTCATACTGGGTTCGTTTCAAACGACCTCAATCCAGTTCGTTTGCTTTGAAAATTGTTCACACTTGCCTTGTGTACAAACGTGCCGAGTTCGTGTTCCAAATCATTTCCGTGTTTTGTCACTGAGACCTTCCAATGTTGTCATTAACGTTTTTCAAGTGAAACAAACCCAGTTATTTTACTAAACGGACCGAGGCCACCTCTTCTGGTGGACTCGTTTCGATTCGTTTTTCCAATCGAACAATGTTGTTCACATTGTTCTCCAAACGAACCGAACGAAAAAGCCTTTCGTTTCAGTTATTAATAGGCTTGGCATGACCAGGTGGATAAGGCGCTCGACTCGCAATCTGAGGGTCGCGGGTTCGAATCCCCGTCCCACCAAACCAATGCTCACCCTTTCAGCCGTGGCGGCGTTACAAT